AGAACAAGGAGCTTGATCATTATGCAAAATTTATCTAAGACTAGAAGCAACTGATGCATACATAGTCTTGTTCTCATCATTCTACCCTTCTCCTAAGTGATCATAATTTCTAACCCTTTCTTTCTTCATCTCATACCCCAAATAACCTTTCCTCACATCACTCACCCAATGAACAAGTTCTTCTCTTCTTTTATTTTTTATTTTTATTTTAGCACAACCAACTAGGGACTCATCACAAGCTTTCTTCTTTGCAACTCTAACTCTTCTTCTTTACACTTCTCCTCCCCCAAACTTATTTCTTTGTTACTTCTTTTTTTTTTTATGGGAAGGGTTCCTTAATACACAATCTAGAGCTTCTCTTTCTTTCTTTTAGTCCCTAATGGTTTCTTCTTTTCTCAAGACACACTTTGTCTAAACTTTCTCATAATCTCTCATTCACAACCCAAGATATCAAATTTGAAACGCAAGAACCCACTCACCATCCTAGATGCTAGCTCAAAAGAGGTTCCTACGCTAGCAAGAGATGAGAACAATCCTATGTCGCCTCCAATACTCTCAAGATTTTGCACATGACAAACTATCAAAAGAAGGCCTCACTCATGCAAATCAAATGTTTGGTCTCAAAAGAATGGCTTGGGTTCAATTTAAGGGTGTGGAGTACCACTTGGGTTAACAAAAGAGTGGTGAAAATGGAGTAAGATAACCCAAATGTGTATGAGATCCATGATCAAGTATGCAAGTGCCCATATGCAAGAGAGATTAAGTTCATTAAGCCAAAATTCAGATTGGAGCTGGTTTTAAGAACAATGTCAATTTAGAGCAAGCGAACATGTTTCAAGAAGAGTTTTCAAGGCTCGAAGCGTGCAAGATTTTCAAGAGATGCTCAAGCTACTTGATGTGTCTAACTAGGGTGTCACTTTGAGCTCTTGACAGGTGTTTCAAAATAATAGCTCCCAATGCATATGAATGCAAGCTATATGCTCTAGACTCTCCTAAAAGTGCAAATGATGCAACCTACATGATCTTTTTGATTTTTCGAATTTTTCAAATTTTTATGGTTTTTCTATG